TCTGTCAAGCAGATAAGAAAAAAAGCTCTTCTTATCCTACATACATGGGATCATCTCAAAATTCCTTAATTTTTCACTTGAACTCTGATGTTGCACATAAAGCTAGGCAATCATAAAACCCCAGTATGTAAACCTTTGGTGAGTGAGAATGGCTTCCAAGTGAACACACAGAAAAGTCTATGTGATCAGGAAGATACTGGTATTTGTTTTTCAGATGACTCATGTGTCACAAATACTGAACATAGGTGTGGATGTGAGGGTTTATGAAAGGGTTTGTGATAGTAAGTTTTGTGGATTCCTATACTAGGCTGATATAACACTTCTATGACAAGCTAAATGCTCTATAGATCCATACCACACATATTTCCAGCAATTTGTTTGAATCATCCGCACAAACTGAAACTACAATATCTGTCAAAACAAAGTTCTACTAACATTAGCAGTCTGCAAATACAGAGGGAGGGATTGCCCTCCCTTGATGCCCTCCACAAGTAAGATGTGCACGCTTGGAATGGGGGGAAGGGGTATGCTTAATTGAAGAAAAAATATTTCTGAAGTACTTCTAGTTCAAGTTTGGGTTGAATAATATAACACACACATTGCTACTTATGAACAGTAACAAACTTCTGCAAGATTCATAGGCATTTTTATACTATGCTGCTGACATTATTTGACAACAATAGATCCAGACAAGCAAGAACCTGAATCTTGGTACCAAGTCTGAACAAGTTATGAGACACTAGAATGATTCAAATAATTCCATTATAAAAGGATTTTTTAAAATTGAAGTTTGATGTAACCCAGCAGCTCTTCGCTGATCTGTAGTCTCCCCTAAATGATTGAACAAGCATTTGCTCATTACAATAGGATTTTCAAGCAATATAATTTACAGAGTGCCATTCCTCTGTTGCCTTACTGGAAATTTAGGCCATTTCTTATCATTATTCAATTCTTTAAAAATCTGTGAATAAAAATAATGTTCACAAGGGTTTGGAGTAGCTTCAATTCAACTGTATACTTAATGGAATTTATTTTCCTGTAAGCTTCATGGGAATGCTAATTAAACAACGAACAGGAGGGGAGGGTATACATTTCAGAAACAATTTTCATGGTCTCAAGATCATTATGATCAGGCTTGTCCAACTATGTTTCCTGCAAGTGTGTTGGACTGGAACTTCCATAATTCTCATAATGTGGCATATACCAAGTTTCAAAAGCCTGATTAAGGCTATGGAGGGAATCAAGCACAAGTTTCCTTCTTATGTCCATCAGACAGTTCTAACACAGTTAGAAAATACTTCCAGAAGAAGGGGAAGAAGCAATTTTTATGGATTTCCTTCTATCCCAGTTGCCCCTTTATTTGCCACAAAAAATTCTGCTCCAGAGGGTTGGGAAACCTCTGTAGCAGTAGGGGAAATGGACATCAGGCTGCTCAGAGCATAAATGAAGACTGTCCTTTTCCTCTACTATCACCAACAGTTTGATCAGAATGTTCAGGTGCTGTTTCTACTTGCAGAACAAAAGTCAATCCATTATTTACTTCCAAAGCTGGGAAAGGAGGGCTGTTCAAAGCAGACTGGCTTAATCAGATAATTTATGGAGTAGCCTTACATTTCAGTATAAAGTAAATAGATAGAAGGCTACTTAATTTCAGCTTGCTGTCTTCAGTCATGGGCCACAATACTAAATAATAGTAACAAAACTGTTCTAATTTTGTTCAGCTGACATTAAATAATCACATATTTCGTATGTACACAGTCCTTGGACACTATGCACAATCTCTGGGGCCTTCCTTCAAGTGCCAACTCCAAGAGAAGTACAGAGGGTGGCAAAAAGGGGCAGGGCCTTTTTGGTGCCTGTCCCTTCATCTATGGAATAAACTCTTCACTGCAGCCCCACTGGCACTGAACCTTTCATCTTTCTGGCCCCAGGTTAAGGTAGTCCTCATTTCTGAGGTTTTTAGATGTACTTGGCCATCCAGGCGCTTGAGGGGAACCACCAAAAGGGTGACTCTTTTGTTATTCCTTGTATTGTCTGTTTCTAGCTGTTTTAACTTTATTTTTTCTTATGTTTAATTCATGTTGTATAGTAACAATTAAAATGGATCAAATTTGTCATCTGGAAATCTAGTTCAATGCTATCTTTTTCTGTTTTCTACTAAGTCACATGCTGTTTCAATCAGTTGAAAGTTTTACATCTAGAATTTGTTAACAGCACATTTGTATTCAAAAATAACCTTAATGGGTCTCATTGTGTAGTATGTGTGCTTAAGGTTGCAGCCTTTAACATGTAATGAGAAAAATGTGGAAGACAAGACCACATGATAGCAGGATAAATAGCTACTTAATTTAAGCTTGCCCACTTTTGAAATTAAGGCACTTATACAAACTTAAATATGTTCTGTCAAATGCAGACACACTATTATGCCAGCTTGGCAGTTTCAAAGTTCAATTAATGTTTTGCAGATTATTGCTAACATTATCAGAATACATACACAGGCTTCGGCAAGGGGCGGCATAGAAATGTTCTAATAATAATAATAATAATAAATGCATATCTGGGTCAGTGTGACATAGAACTAATAAGCATGATCACAAAACTGATGAGCACCCTTTGTGGAAGCTGAAACATAGAGTTGGCTCTCAGCAATTAAATGCTTATTTCTTTGCTAAAAGAACACTGGTAAAATTACTATAGCCTTCCCAATCTGGTGTCTTCCAGATGTGTTGCCACTCGCAGGTGAAAACGGTTTCCATGAACTTTATTTTGTCTTACTCCATACAATTTAATTAATACATAATCCCCTTCATGGATCACTGCCTTGCCATTGCAAAGGGGCTTGTGTAGCGCAACGAAGCTATGAGCTATGCCATGCAGGGGCACCCAATACGGAACCCAATACAGACAGGTCATTGCAGAGAGCTCTGAAAAAAGGTGATCGACTGGAGAAGGAAATGGCAACCCATTCCAGTATACTTGCCATGAAAACCCCATGGACAAGCAGCCTGGAGGAATGTTGTCTATGGGGTCATGATGGGTTAGGCATGACTTCACAAATAGCATAACATACAATTTAAAGGAAGTGTTGAAAGTGTCTTTCAATGTTGACAATATTCCAGTAAAAATGCCTATATAACATCTAAATCAGAGTAGGTGTACTTTAATTTTCTCTCTCAAATATGTGTTTTAAGTCAGTCTATTCTAGACAAGTGAAATAAGCAAACTAAATTAGTTTACTCTGTAACCCACACAACTGGACACTGGGGTAGCATATAACCATTTGGACTAGTAGTGTTTTTAACTTAAAAAATTTTAAACCATCAATGCATCCCATGGCAGTGAATTCCATAGTTTTACACTATCTGAAATAATATTTTCTTTAATCTGTCCTGAAGCAGCATGTTTCTTTTCTCTTCTTCTAACAGGCAGTCAAAACTCAAACCACCCTGCAGGCACAAAGATAATCTTAAGGAATCATCCCTCTGCCTGTGAAGCACCAGTGTTGGAAGGAAGTCTTGGATTCCTCTTTGCTTGCTACACCCAAGCAGACTCTTCACAGAGTGAACATGACTGCTGAACCCTGTACACTCTCAACATTCAAGTTTGTGTATATGAGGTTCCTAGGGGAATTCATAAAAGCCCCCAAAATGTTCATTTTAAGTATTGAGAGACTACCATCACTCAACAGAAATCATGCTTTTCTCTACATTACTAGGAAAACTGGAAGTGAAAAAGTAGAAGAGGACGACGATGGCTTGTGGATGAGTAGGGATAACTTCTCAGACATCAAAAGAACACTGAGACCAAGTCTGCAATAACATTTATTGCATTTATGCTGTTGTTCCTATCTGGTATCCTCTGTATTCATTTCCAGAAGAATTCCTACACACATGTACACATACACCTCAAGAGATGATGGTTTTGAGACCCTCTGAAGCAGGTTTGGGGTACAAAGAGAATGAAAAGAGAGGATTGAGAAGTCCTGTTGCATAAAGAGACATCCATCCATGCAATTGTTAAATCCAACCCAATACTACTTCTTGGTATATCCTAAAACATTACGGTGAAAGCAATAAAAAAATGTTACAGCTAAAGGCCAAACACAACATTCTCATACCAGGTGAAAATGTTGGCTTCAGCACCATTTAATTCCAAAACAGTACATGTGCCTGTTGCCTTTGAAATCTGTTTTTAACAAGAGCTTTTCAGTTCTATTAAACCAAATATTTTAACAGAAATTGTTATGCTCTGCTGTCACAGTACTCCACCGAAAAAACAGTTTTGCATATCGCTGAAATAACATGCTGACAAGATCAGTCCTATGAAGAAGTAAGGATTAAGCATCAAAAATGGTTCTAGGATTATGAGAGGTATACAAAAGTCATACTGACCAGTAACACAGCACAATGTTCTCAGATAATGAATCCCACTGACAAAGCCTCATTAAATTCAGACATCCCTAACCCTGAACATATCCTACGATTCCTCAAGCTCCGAGTGTCAGTTGCTTTATTGTCCTATCACATTCACCTTCCCCCGATCGGTCTCCTCTTTCGAAACAATGCGTCCTGATTTTATGGGGTAGTGTTTAACCATGCACCATTTTCTTTGGGCGGGCAGGCGGCCGACAGCACGCACGTGGGGAGAAAGGAGGACACTTCCTCCTCTTTAGTGCAGCGGTTTGATTGATTCATTGATTAAAGGAGCAGCCTCCAGGTTTTTTAGGTTCCTAGTAAGACAAGGTGCGACCATCATACGTGAAGCACGCCGACCCACGGACCGGAATCAACAAACCAGAGATGGACGCAGCCCCTTTCTCTAGGCCTAGCCACATATTTGGCTTTGAATGGCCCATCATGACAAGTAAACTGCGCCATGCTTCTCTTGCCTTTTCTCCACCCTGGAGTCCCTCCTTTTCCCCATTGTTCCCTCGACTCTCGTGTACCGTTCCCTCCTTGTCGCCTCCAGACTCACCCCCCACCCAACCACCAACTACTCACGGGGTGCAGCGGTCGCTGTATTCATTGGCGATCGTTTCGATGCCCCCCGCTCGGGCCACAGCCACATAACAGCTCTGGAAGCCCAGGTCGATTCCCACCACCGACATACTGAGTCCGGGACAGAATGGGCGGGCGGAATGAAAACCGGGTCAAGCACAGAAGAAGCGAGACGGCCTGAGAAGCTCCGGGAAGGAAGAGAAAGGGCCACTCGTACAGGGCCGGCCGGCCACCGGGTAGGAAAATCACCACCACAAGCGAAGGGCTGTACTGCAGGCAAACGTCCCGTCCGTCGCCACCTGCTCGTTCACCTGGAGCGGACGCTCAGACGGTTTAAATGGGCGACAGCGGCGCGCGACTCCGGTTTCCTCCGCGTGAGGGGGGAGGGAGGGGATAAAGTGGCTGCGGAGCAGAAAAAGGGAGATCTCGAAAGATCCTGTCCCGTCAAGAGGAAGGGGGAGGAGTGGACGTCGTCTCGCGAGATTCCTGGCTCGAGCGCGCGCGCGCGTATTTACTTTTCTCACGCACGCAGTGGAATTCTAATCACTACAGCCCCGCCTCTGGAAGCGTGTACCAATAAAAAGGACAGGCGGGAAGGCGGTAGACGTAAGGGCGGTGACTGGAATGGGGTGTTCGGTACGCACGGTGTCCGCTGCAGTTGCGCATGCTCATATCAGCGGGCCCTTTCGACCGAGCTAGGGCTGCCGCTGTGGTGATTGGCGGGTGGCTCCTCAATGCACTATAACGAAGCGTTCTCCTAGCTTCAGTCTCACCAATGGCTTTTTTTTTCTTTTAACTTTCTCCGTTAACCTGTCGCAGGAGAGGAATTCTGCCATTGCTCCATGCCCCCCACGTGCCTCGTGCTCAGATGAGCTCAGCTCATTTACACGTAGCAGGAAAGTCGAAGGAAACCCAATCAAGCAAAATAATTCCTCCTCTGATAGCTCCAGGTTTTCCTCTGACCCAGGTGAAGTCGTGGTAGTAATCAAATCAGGACTTGTTCACAATAATGCTATGTTGGTGTTTCTTTAATTATTTGTGTATCCTTTTTATGTTCTAAATAATGTTTTCATTCAGGGTTTTATGCTTTGCCATCCCAAGTGCCTTTATTTATTTATTTTCGATTTATATCCTGCCTTTTTCCTACAAAGGGCTCAAGGCAGCTTACATCTCCTCCATCTTATCCTCACAACAACAACAACCCTGTGAGGTAGGTTGGGCTGAGAGTCTGTGACTGACCCAAAGTCACCCAGTTGGCTCCATGGCTGAGCGGGGACTAGAACCCAGATCGTCTGAGTCCCAGTCCCATGCTCTTAACCACTACACACACTGGCTCTCTGGAAGAAAGGGATATAAAAATAAAGGCCTGGATGAAAGCTAATGCACTGATGCAGAAAACACAATAAAATGTTAATAGATGGTTAGTCTGTTCAGCTAGTGATGTTCAACCTCCCTTAGAAGGTGTTGCATTCCCTCCCCTCCAAAAACATAAACCGACCAAAGCCAATCAAGTTTATCAGTGGGACATTAAGCAGGAGCTTGCACTAAATTGTTCCTTGCAGCTCTGATTTGTAATGATGAGGAATAAATATATTATGCTAGGAAATTAGAGAAAAACATTACATCAAATGAGGAACATTGGTCATGAACAATACAAAGAATCTAATCTTAAATTATTATCCTGGTTACACTCATTTGCTAAATATGGATAAGGGATCTCTTTCCAGTGTAGTATAAAGGTATCAGGGAGTTTGTGCTTCTATTCCTCTGAAATGGAGTTCACACACTAGGTTTCTGGCTTAACAACTGTATCAGCCCAATGCACCTAAGCTTGGGAAGAGAGAGGCTTTCCATGCTATTTTAGGTCCCTGACTTTCCCCTTGGGTGTGATGTTCCCATGTTAGTGCCTTCCTCATCCCAGCCTTGCAAACCAGATGCCTATGGTACAACAAGCAGTAACTGACAATATCAAGATTAGTTGCACATAATTCCACTCAATTTGAGGGGAAGGCAATCTATTATAAGGAATACAATAATAGTGCCAACTGTTCGTTGCCAGAACAAGCAAGATCTCTGGCCTGGCAAGTTCTAATAAAAGGCAAGGAGTACCACAAAACTGCTATTGCTCTTTTTTCTTAAGATGCTTCCCTGATGGGCTAACTGGCTTTCCTGTAGTTCTTTCCCTTGGCCAGAGGTAGGTGGTGGTGCACAGGCTGGATCCTCCCTTTACATCCATTACATTGCAGCTTCAGGTTTAATCTCAGATATTCATTTAATTTCACTGGACAAGAAGAGTGTGGTCTGTTTTCCAGTAAAGTAAAAAAGGAGGAAGAAAAAAATACGGATCTCTTTAGACAATGTATTTTTCACACATGAATTTCATGATTATTCAACTGCTGTAAAAAATACAAATATATTTGGTTATATTTTATTATGGGAAAAATAAATTTTATGGCAGTTAAGCTACAATGTGTTGTCATCAAATGTCATAGATTCATGATAAACTTGGCTGATTTCATTCAGCAACCATGTTCTTGACTCTGATCCTCTGTTACCTGCAAGAACTAGAATAAAGTACCCACCTGTCATACTGTCTATCACCCCAGAGCTGAAATCACATTGCTACAGGGTAAGTAAATACTAGGAACATATTTTATCATTATTTATAAAGTGCCTAAAATTACTAAATGCTAAGACTTTTTTTCAAAGAAGTCTTTGCCCTCAGGTTTACAGTGTAATAGAGATGACACAAGAGGGGAAAAAAAGAGATGGAGAGTGAGGAGGAAAAGAAGCAAGCTCAGGCAACTATTCTTAAAATTACAAAGTTCTTACTGTGGCCAGGTTGCCTGGAAACAGTTCATGAAGGAGAAGAAATCCATGGTGCTGATTGCACAGCAAAGCCATTGGAGCAAGCTCTGCTGTCCCACCCCTCTTTCAGCAATAGCCAGGTGGAATTGCTGCTTCTAAATGACAATTCCGGGAGCAAGGAGGCACCCATTGTCAGCTGGCTATTCTGACTCTCCCCTCCCTCTGTAGCGGCTAGATAAATCTGTCTGGCTAACACAAAGGAGAGTTTGAGATTGCATTTTAATGTTGCTGTTGGTATTTCATATCATGTAAAAGCACAAAAGATGAGCTGGAAGTCAGAGTTAAGATACTTTTCCTTTCCTTTGTGTAATCCATTTCATCCACACACCCTTCTTTAATACAAGTGCAATAATACAGCCCTACCTTACAAAGCTGTTGTAGAAGTTGCTGAGATAGGAAGAGTTGCTGTATGAAGGATAAGCATTATTATCCTCCTGAAGAGCTACCTTTATTCTCAGTGATCAATGTTGTATAAAGGAACAGGACTGTTTTCTGTGATACTCATTAGTACATTGGGAAAAAAAAGTCAGTGCTCAAGGTACAAAGTATCACTGCATGTCTTTCTCTCCTTGCTTTCATTTTGAAGAGAGCCTCTGCCAGAATATGGCTGGGATGCAGTGACATATGTCACTAAAGTTTTCATGCTGATACATTTGAGCTTACAACTGTCACCTCACAGCTGTTACTACATGTGACTTGACGTCACAGTGGAACTCTTCTAGGTAGAAAAAATATATATATCGATAGCAGGACATTTCTGCCAGTTCAAAAGAAATTGGCTCCCAAACTCTTATCAGTAGGATTACCCCTTAATCCTGCTTTATCAGTGGCTGTTCCCAGGCTGTTATGCCAGCATAACATGGATTTCATTCTAGGTACTACCAGCTCTAGAGTTTAAAGCTCCCTTGGGAAGATGTCCTGGGTCTGTCTTATCATTGTCCATTTGCTTGTTCTCTCCCTCTTGATCCTAACCTTCAACACTATCCAGAAAAAGAGAAGAAAAGACTGCTGCTCTTACTCCCTGATGGTTTACTTCTTGGTTCACCCCTACCGAAGCCTTAGATAAGTTGGTGAATAGGAGCAATAGCAAGAAAGAAGAAGAGCTGGAGTATGGCTAGGAGGGTCTGAGAATCAACAATGAAGGCTTTGTCAGCTGATCAGCTATGCCAATACACCCCACTCTAGTAGCCCTGCTAATAGCAGACAGATAAGGCTTTGTAAAGTACCCATAGAGCCTTGGCTATTGGGCAGTATATGAATGAAATAAATACCTAAATAAATAAAAGAGGAATACATGCATAAACAGGACAATGCAGAAACACCATATGATAATTCTACATTCTAACCTAGCAAACTCAACCACCATGTACCAGTCATGATGCTGAACTGTGCAATAATGATGTATGTCAACATAGTTTTACTATAGCATCATATCTTTAGGCTCTGTTAATACAGGAAAATTTAGAAGTGATTCTAGCCCTGCTTACTGGATATAATCCAGGAATACAGTTGTGCTGTGAACCTTTTCTACAATAGTATGTGCTTTATGTGGTCTCAAGTGAGAAAATAATTTCAGTTAACAGGTAACTAAATGACCTTCATGGCCTCTTTGCATTATCAATATTTGTTTATAATTTTAAATTATTTTTCAATGGAGGCATTGTGATTTGCACACTGGACAATTGTTCTTCATTGCATGCAACATTTTCAAATATTTAACATTAATGACACAGCCCTATGCATATTTAGAGAGATTTTTGGCTGGCTGGAACATGCTGCTACTTATAGGCCCCTTTTCATCTAAATATGCATAGGATTCTTGCTTTAAAAAATAGACCACACATGCTGAACTTTGAATATTCACTGATTGTTCCGATGTCAAAGGGATATAATTTAGCCAAACCTGTGTCTATCTGAAGTATCTCCAAGGCCTATCAGATAAATTAGACTGTACCATATTCCACATATGCAAAAAGGCTGAAGACAGGCAAGAATAAAAATTAATCAAACACAGAAAAAGCAAGCTTGAACGTGAATCCTCCTGCTGATTAGAAGTCAATGGCTTACGAATGCAAGGATGGAGAACCTTGTTTGCAAATACAGATATCACCCACTTCTGTATTTTTGATGGCTCGGAGTAGGGTGAACAACCCCATTGTTTTCACCAAGAAAAGCTATCTGCTTCAGCTCTGACTCTTCCTGTCCCACGATGGTGTCAACCATGACGTCAAAATCTGTGTAAAAGGTATAACCTCCTGCCTGGGTTTTATGCACTCAGTGTGCTGGGTTTGCATCAGTTCCAATCATAGCTTGAGGACCAGCACCATCTGGGTACTTTCTACTAGTACCCACTTTACCATCCCACTTTTGGAAGGAATACCATTACTTTACTATTGGGAGGACAAATGCTAGAGGGACTTGAGTAAGCCCAGAAAGAAAACAGGGCATGGATGCTGTGGTTCTGTCACTTTGTCTTTCTGCCCAGTATCACTTGAGTTTGGCAGCTGAGGTCCTCACCTATCTACAGGCTGAAAATTGGTGTAACCCTTTATGGACACATTTT